ATGCTAACAGTTAGCTTCTAATAGCCCTTCTGTTTCCTGGACGCTAAACCAACAACAGCCTTCCCCGTCGTGAGTCAAGATGGGTGAGTTCACGGATATTAGTGACAGTGTGACGTAGATCTGTCTACTGGCTAATTCGGGAGATAGGTGTAGGAGACTATTTTCATGTTCAGACTGCATGAAACACTCAGAGTGACCCGTTAGAATCAGAAATGGCCATTAGAACATGTTTTGTCAGTGAACTTGCTCTTTAACATACCCGTGTCTATATAATGATCACGAGTTTAAAGTGAGGGGCTTATTTAAGGTAGCTCCTGGGTTGTACCACAGAGTTTAAGGGTCTGCTTTGATACTTTCAACAACATGACGATAACTGATAAATATACTTTTAACTAACCTCGTGTGTCTCTCGTGTGAGCTTCCTGCCACTGTGGGAGTCGGAGTTTGAGCGCTAAGGTGCTTCTTGGTGTAAAAAGTTAGAGAACCGCGTAAATTGACTTTACAATGATCCTAAACTTGATGTAAATTCTTTGTTTGAGACACGTTTGTCACCTCACCCCCGACTGTGTTCTTTTCACTCGGATTTTAACCGTCAGAATTAAGTGTCTTCTCTGGAGATAAAAGCCCAACCTATCTCGACACCTGCTCCACTTTCTACAGTGAAGCTCCGGACCACCTGCTGTGTTGCAGCATCCTTTCAGATACCTTTGCCGGCAGTTATATCCTTGAACTCTTTCTAAAACAAGTCATCTCAGGACTCAAACGCTGTCTGATTCCAGGATTGAGATGTTTCATTAAATACAGGCCTTGTTGGAGGCAGGAGAGGATTTTTATGGGAATCTGATGACATTTGTTGGTAGAGAGAAATTTTTGTCGTTAAGACACTAATCCTAACCCTGCAGGAAAATATGCCAAACACACCAACAAAATATTTGAATGTTCTGCTGAAATAAATCTCTCAGCTCTTCCCTTTCCAAACACCGCCTCACAGCCCTTCTCCACCTGATTTTCACGTCAGTTCAACCGCTGCTCCTCCTTACCCCGGGTTTCCACGGGAGCCGTCAGCAGCACGTTACTGCAGCAGCACGTCTTGCTCGCGTAAGCTGCTGCTTGGCCCTTCCCACGAGACGCGAATCAGCAGGGGAGCAGCTGTCACCGACAGAGCACAAAGTCACACGAGTGACTTCGTCAGTAAACACAACAACAAGCAGGAGAAAACTACAACATGGTTTGTGTTTTATGTTCTGTCCGTTTTATAATCGCCAATACGGACCTGAAAAACAAAGGAGACCGCTAGCTAGGTGATAACTTCTCACGGGGCCGCATAGTTGGTAACTTTTTTTAAAAGTAAAGCAACCAGAAGGCAGTACGTTCTTTATTCTGAAAATCTCGGGAGCTTCTCTCCATTTCCGCGTCCGATTTCCTGTCTTTCCTTCCCCAAAAATGTCGAACTTGACCCGTTTCAGAGGCGTCGCGCGTAGAAAATAGAACCGGCGCGTAAGGGCCGCGACATGCTGCTCCTGAGACGCGGCCGACTCGCGCTGCTGACGGCTGCCGACGGCTCCAATGGAAAAGGTTCTGTTGACCACAGCCGTTCCTATCAGCAGCTATGACGTGCTGCTGATGGCTGCTGTGGAAAGCCGGGGTTAGGCCTCCTGTCTTCATCTGGAAATCCCAGAACTGAGCCAAGTATCTGACGCATTAAATCCCTTCTAGAACCAGTCAAAATGATGACAAATGTTTGTGATAGGACCATGGACGTAATTTTCAGTTTAAAAGTGGGGGGGGGGGGGGGGGGGGGGTATCTTTACAGTATGTTCTAATGGGAAACAGGCTTCAACACAAACGGTTGTTTTCCGCTTGGTCCTAGAGCTCAACCATTGTCAATTTAATATAGTGTAATATTGTTTTTGGATGGTAAAAAGTGCAGGGGTCAAAACTTGACTTTGGAAAAAGTGGGGGGGACATGCCCCCCCTGTCCCCCACCCAAAATTACGTCCATGGATAGGACGACAGCTCGCTCTCAGAGGGCCAAGGTTTGGTTCAGCTCCATCAGAAACCCGTCAGGGAGAAAAGCCCATCTAAAGTCTCACATTAACACCAAAGAATATAAATAATGTTCTAGTTTTAAATACATGGCCGTGTCAATATCAATTAACGTTTTTAACAGTGCACCTTATAATTAAGAAACATGCTATTTGGTTAAGTTTACACCTTAAACAACGTTTAGTGAGCAGTGACACCTGGTGGCTACATTTAGCAACACAGCAAACGGACTCGATTGCAAAATCAAACAAATATTCATTGGTTTTGGCTTCAATATCATGAAGTACCGCTTCAAAACATGTTTTAAATGATTCAACAATGAAAACGGCAGGGAAACAGAAGGTTCCAACAGCAGAACCTTGGTGAATGCGAACTAGCGGCTAAACGCTAGGCTAATAAAATGAGCTCTGTTGTTCTTGAAGAGCGCTTCGGGTTTCAGTGGTTTTTCAACAGG